ATGGTGGTGATGACTGTGGCAATGGTGACGCTGGCGATGATGATAATGGTGGCGCCAAGGGCGACAATCACGTTGACGACGACGATGATGATGTTGATGATGACTGTTGGGATGATGATGGCGACAGCGGTGATGAAGACTACGGTGATGACGGTGACGATGACTCCGCTGGCGATGACATCAACGACGGTGCTGTTGAGGATGGAAATCCCCGGATCCTGGAAGCACTTCTTGCTGCACTCCTCTTGGTTTCGCATTGTGGTTTTGCACGCCTCTGCTGCACTCGGGAGCGGCCAAGAGGGGGGTGTCCAAGAGGGGGGGGTGCAAATCATGACCGGCGGCATGTGCGCGGCCCAGCGGGGGGGCCAGGGACTTAATGAAATAAGAAGAGGCGCCACGAGATCTGGGGAAAGATCATGGCCTCCGCCATGATATCCACCCCCCCCTAGTCATCACCCCCCTCTTTTCCGCCCCCGATGCACGTTGAGATTACTTGACTACTGCCGGTGTTAGACGGATATCGGCGTGCGCCCTCGGCAGCGCGCGCGCGGCGGAGCACGGAGCCACTGGTCGCACCAAGTGAGGCGTGGCCATGGATGTCGCCGCCGCGCCCATCAAAGAAAGAATCCTCCGGGGCCCTCCTCCGCCCCTTCCTCTTCCTCCTCCTCCTCCTCCTCCTCCTCCTCCTCCTCCTCCTCCTCCTCCTCTCCTCCTCCTCCCCTCCCCTTCCCCATCCTCATCTTCTTCCTCCTCGGCGGCGCCACAATGGCCCCGGGCCCACGGCGAAGCAGTAGCGATCATGCAACATGGGCCGGCGGAATGAGCGAAGCGATTGAATGAAGAATCCTCCAGGGACCGAAACCTCCTGGGCACTTTCCGTAACCAGCGCCCTCACCGCATTAGACGGGGATGACGGGGGCGTGTCGATACTGGCTTGGCTGGCCTGGCAGCAGTTCGTTCGGCATATGATCTAAACGGCACGATCAAAAATCAATACTCGGCATGGTGGCAGATCCCGGGTCCGACTGGAAATGGAATCGATGTCGCACACCCAAATTTTAGCATCCGCGCACGAGAACCTCCCATGTTCGAGGAAACATCCCGCACACCCATTCGCAACTTGCTGGCAAAAGCCAGCCGGCGCAATAACAATCGGACCCTGCTCATGCGGATCCACGACCTGGGCGGGCGAGTGAAGATGGCGACGATGACATCGGAAGACGACGACGACGACGATGAGAATGTTGATGATGACGGTGATGGCTTCTATCTTGGAATGCTTGAAGGACAGATGGCTTTGCAATGAGTTCTGCATACGCGCGCGGGGACGCGCGCGTGGCCCTCACTTACTCAGTTTGCAGAACTGTCGTGCACGCACTGATTGCTGAAGAAGCTCGACAAGTGCGCGCTTACATCCTCCGTGGTCTCGATGGCGGCAATGAATAAAGTGCTCGTTCAACTTCACCGGCTGCGCGCGCAGAAGTCTGTCATGCTTTGCCGATTATTGTTGACGGCTTTGCAAATTATAATTTAACGCAAGTGGTTGGAAGGATTTCGACATGTGCGAACGCGTGCAGCCTGTACAGTGGGGCCAATACTGTTTGGTTGCGCGTGCTGTTACATGATATGCGCAATGAACGAACGTACAAACTGAGACGACGCGTCGTCAGATGACGGCGCGTCCCCCCCCCGTGGTAAGATACTGGTTCGCGCTGGCGCCGTTTGTGAATGCCTAGGAATAGCCAGATGGCGGCTGTGATGAGCATGTACATAAAGGATCTGAAAGGGATGGCTAGGCGAAGTGTAGGGGCTTGCCGAGGGCTGCCACGGGCAGCGGACGCAGTGTCTGCGCGCGCCACCACCCTCGCGCAAGGCGAGGAACTCTCCTCGGACGGCAACGAGGAGCTCTCGAGATGGCATCGGCGCCGCCAAACAGACGGCGCCTGGACCAGCTCTCGGCAGCAACCGGGGGGAGAGGGCCTCCTCCTCCTCCTCCTCCCCCTCCTCCTCCTCCTCCCCCTCCTCGTCCTCCTCCTCCTCCTCCTCCTCCTCCTCCTCCTCCTCCTCCTCCTCCTGGGTGTAGTCGTGGCGAGCGGGGCCCTCGCGCGCGGAGAGCCGACGGGAGTGCGCGGAGCAGCGCGGGACCCCTCCCCGTGGGAAGCTGCTGGCCGAGCGCACCTCGCCCACAGAAGCTTAGCACGGGCAGGAGGAGGAGGAGGAGGAGGAGGAGGAGGAGGAGGGGGAGGAGGAGGAGGAGGAGGAGGAGGAGAAGGCGGAGGAGGAGGCGGAGGAGGAGGATCCGGAGGAGGAGGAGGGGGAGGAGGGGGCCTGGGGTCCGCGGATCCGACCCCGGTCGGCTCCCTGACTCATGCTACAACTACAAAAAAACTAGACCGAGGTGGAGACATCGGATCCGCCATGAGAAAGGACGGGGTGCGAAGCTCGAGGGATCGAGGTCAGATCTGCGCAGACAGAGATCGGATCCACCGCATCCCATACGAAACCACAATCGGATCCACGCAAACACAATTGATCATAATTGGATCCGCCACCGTTCCTCTGATACGTGGCCGTGTTTGACTTGATACCATTTTATTATGATCCCAAGAGGGAAAACTTTCGTCCTGAGGATGCCCGCCACAATATGCCCGCGCGATGGAACCACGGGGTGCACCACAATGCCTGTGCACACCATAATGCCTGCGTGCACAACAGCGCTGGTGAACACCACAATGCTTGCGTGCACCAATGCGCAGGTGTGAACAACAATGCCTGCGTGCACCACAGTGCCCTTGTACACGGCAATGCCCGTCTACACCACAGTGCGTGTTTACACCACGTTGCCTGTGTACACCACAACGCCTGTGTACATCAGCGCCTGCGTAAACAGCAGTGAGTGCGCACACCACAGAAAGCTTGTACACCGTAGTTGCTGCAACGCAAACACAAGTGTGCACCACATCGCGCGTGCACACCACAATGCCAGCGTGCACCACAACACTTGTGTGCACGACAACGCCTGTGCATCACACTGCTTGTGCACACCACATTGCCCGTGTGCACCAGAGTGGCTGCTTCATCACCATATGTGTACCACATACACATACCCTATGCACCTCAGTACCTCTGTATCCACGATCGTGCCTGCAGCACGTAGTGGAGTGCCCCAAGCCTCATGCAGCCTTGAGACATTCAGAGTTGTAGGGTTCTGATAGGTTTGAAGGGTCAGGGCCACCAGTTTCACATGGATTTTCGGGGATTCCTGGGGACTCCCCGGAATTTCCGGGGATTCCCCGGGATTCCCTGGGCGTATCGCGCGCGTCCTTCGGCAGCGCAGCCGGCCAAACATGGGCCCAAAAAGCGCCCAAGAGGGCCGAAGATGCCTCCGAGAAGGAGGCCCTGAAGACGTCCTAAGAGTGTTCCAAGAGGAGTCCCAAGAGGGCCCCAAGGGGCTCAACTCATTGATTGCCCTTTGGTTTTTGAAGGTTGTTTGGCCTTCTCGCCTTTGCGGCTTTCCGACGCTCCAAGACGGCCCACGAGGCCCACAAGATCGCCCCAAGAGGCCCCAGAGGCCCCCGAGAGGTTCCCAAGACAGCCAAAGAGGGTCACATGACAGCCTAAGAGGCGCCCAAGACGGCCCATGAGGGTCCAAAGATGGCCCCAAGAGGGAGCCCAGGTGGGGGACCCGAACAGACGTTTCGAGCCCTCGGCCCCGAGGGCCCCCCAGGAGGCCCCAAGAGGCCCCCAAAAGGCCCCCAAGAAGGCGGCGACGGGCGGCCAGCCCGGCGGCAGCCTGGAAGCGCCGGCCAGCGCACGAAGGCCCTGAGGAGAAGGCGACGGGAGGGCCGCAGACGACAACCCGGAAGCGCACGCCAGCGCACGAGGCCGCCACGCGCGGGCACTGGGCGAAAGGTTTTCGCGTTCGCTCTCCACGCGGTGCAGAGAGCCTCACGCCTCTTCCTCCTCCTCCTCCTCCTCCTCCTCCTCCTCCTCCTCCTCCTCCTCCTCCGCCTCCTCCTCCTCCTCCTCCTCCTCCTCCACCTCCTCCTCCTCCTCCTCCCCTCCTCCTCCTCCTCTTCCTCCTCCCCTCCCTCCTCCTCCCTCCTCCTCCTCCTCCTCCTCCTCCTCCTCCTCCTCCTCCTCCTCCTCCTCCTCCTCCTCCTCCTCCTCCTCCTCCCCCCCCTTCCCCTCCTCCTCCTCCTCTCGCACGTGTCCAAGGTCTGGCAAGGGCCTGAACCAAGGAAGGCGAGATGTTCGGGTTCAGCTCGTCTCCAACCTGGCGAGGTTGACACTTCCAGGTTCCCTCATCCGTTTCCACTGTTTCTCGGGCGCCACTTCACGCTGCTGCTGCCCAATTTTGAGTCGTAGCTCAACTAGTTGGGCCTACGTGGCTTCCGTCGGCATTGCTTGGGCGCGCCTTCCTTCCCACGAGGCGCTGGCCCGAGGCAGGCTGAGCGAGGGGTCGTGCTGCCTATACGAGCGCCAGATATAGTCTACTTCGTCCCCTGCTCGGCCCCCAGCAGTACGTTGAACTTGCGCAGTACAGCGACAGTCCGACAGCAGGCCCTATCCACGTTTACCACGGCAAGAAGGTGGCCCACCACCAGAATCGCTTTATCAAGCCTTTGCTAGTGCGATCGTTTTATCAAACGCTTGCCGGCGACGGAGTGGAATAATCAGGCGACGTAACCTGGGGTACCTACACATGGCTGTCAGGCGCCACGTCGCCCCTGGCCAAAACGCTGGAATATGTGAGCAATGCCTCCAGGCTTGAGCCAACAATTGTTACACCATTCCTCATCTTCCGAATCGGTCTCCTCCTCCTCCTCATCATCCTCCTCATCCTTCCTCCTCCTCCCTCCTCCTCCTCCGCATCCTCAATATGCTCCTCGTCTCTGTCTCTCTCTCTCTTTCTCCCGTCTTCACTTTCTAGACGATGACGAAGACGAGGAGGACGGGGAGGTCGAGGCCGAACAACACGTATCACACCGAACCCCCTCGGCCTCTGGCAAGGTGCCGCCAGCGTGCTCCGCCATCGACGCGTAGGCCTGCTGGAAGCCGGCGTGGTCAGAGTGGTAGGGGCCGGGGATCAGCTCCGTCTCCTCGTCCACCCAATGGGGGACCAAGGAAGAGGAGCCCGAGGAGGAGTGCGATTGAGGATGATTGAGGGAGGAGGAGGAGGAGGAGGAGGAGGAGGAGGAGGAGGAGGAGTAGGAGGAGGAGGAGGAGGAGGAGGGGGAAGGAGGAAGGAGGAGGAGGAGGGAGGGACATCGGGACGATGCGAGGAGAGGGGAAGGAGGAGGAGTAGAGGAGGAGGAGGGGGAGCGGAGGAGAGGAGGAGGAGGAGGAGGAGGAGGGAGGAGGAGGAGGGAGGAGGAGACGCGTGGAGGACGAGGAGGGGATGGTGGGCACCGACTGGAACGCCGTCTGCTGGCACAGGCGGCGACAGGCGAAGAACGAAACGACGGGGCTTCGGAGGCCGACCCTCCTCCTCCTCCTCCTCCTCCTCCTCCTCCTCCTCCTCCTCATCATCATCATCATCATCATCATCATCAGCGGCAGCAGCAGCAGCATCATCATCCAGCAGTACCTCCCAACAAACCCGACCCAACCGTCCAAAGGAGCTGCAGTGGACGCGTGCCGGCCCCGACGAGCCTCGTCCAGCTTCCTCAGCTACGCAGCCCTGGTGGACGTCGCCGCAGAAGCCCCCAGGCAGGACCCCGAGAGGCACCGCGGAACCCCATGGGGCAGAAGGATGAAGCCAGATCAAGGCGTGCAAAGCAGAACTCTGCCGAGCTGAGAAGCATAACCGCCCCGATCTGCAAACACCTTCAGTGCGCCGCCACCCGACCCCAGGGACGGACGTGGAGGAGGAGGGGGAGGGAAGGAGGAGGAGGAGGAGGAGGAGGAGGAGGAGGAGTGAGGAGAAGGCGGAAGAGGAGGGGGAAAAGGAGGAAGAGAGGAAGAGGAGGAAGATGAGGAAGAGGAGGGGTAGCAAAAGTTGGGAGGAAAAGGAGGACAAGGAGGAGGAGGAGGAGGCGGAGGAGGAGGAGGAGGAATAGGAAAAGGAGGAGGCGGAGGAGTGAGGAGAAGGAAGAGAAGAGGAGGAGGAGGAGGAGGAGTGATTGAGGAGGGGAATGGAAGTTAGGGAGGGGAAGGGGGGAAAAGAGAGGGGGGCAGGACAGGTGAGTAAGGAGGTGGAGGCGGAGGAGGAGGAAGAGGAGGAGGAGGAGGAGGGGAAGGGAAGAGAGGAGAAGAGGAAGTGGGAGGAGTAGATAGAGGCAGAAAGGCGGAGGAGGAAAGGGGAGGAGAAGGAAAAGGAGGAGAAGGAAGAGGAGGAGGAGGATGGGCAGCAATAAGATTGGGAGGAAAAATGAAGATCATGAGAAGGAGGAGGAGGAGGAGGAGGAGTGAGGAGGAGGAGTATGAGAGGCGGGGCCTGTCCCTGCGGGCGGTGCCCCTGGTGCCGTCTGCACGTGCTGCTGCGTTCCCCCCTTCGCGTCATCTTCGGCGGTCTTCGGCGGCGGCGGTCACGCCGACCCGATACCCGAGGCCCGCGGATCGGCTCTCGTGCCGCCGCGAACCCCCGCCACGACCTCGCCCCTGGCGAAGCCGCGATCACGAGGGGCCAGCCGCGGTGACAGGGAGACCTCCACCTCCTCGTCCACTCTCCTCCTCCTCCCACCTCCTCCACCACCTCCTCCTTCCTCCTCCTTCCTTCCTCCTGCTTCCTCCTCCTCATCTCCTCCTCCTCATCCTCCTCCTCCTCCTCCTCCACCCCTTCTCCTCCCTCCTCAGCCACAGCCTCCCCAATACCTCCTCCTCCACCGAATATCCTCACCCCTCGTCTCCTCACCGCCATAGAAAACCCCTCCTCCATCAACCCCCCAAACAAACTACCCTTTCCTTCACCATCTCTCCTCTCATAGCCACCCCAGATTTAACAACAACCATACCATCCTCTGCCCCATCCTGCCCTCACAAAATGCGATCTCGCATCACTTCCAACCTCCTCCTTTTTCCTCCTCCTCCTCGTCCTCCTCCTCTTCGTCCTCCTCTTGTTCCTTCTCTTATTACTGTTGTTTCCTCTTCTACGTGTGATTATCAGTCGTACGAAAAGTAGTGTTCGTACTACCAGTATCAAAAAAAAAACACAAATATAGTTTCTAAGATTAGTGATTTGTTGATTACTTTTAGATGTAATCATATTAATAGTACCATTGCGAATAGTAGTATTGCAACCTTATCCTGATTCGTGTGAGTGGTATCAGTATCACAACCTTTAGCATTAGCGTCATTAGCAAAGTTCGTATTGATACTAGTATTTGAATGATTGATAATGCCGTTCGTGTTCTTACTGCTAGAAATAATAATCATCTGTTTAGTATTTCTCCTCCTCCTCCTCCTCGTCCTCGTCCTCCTCCTCCTCGTCCTCCTCCTCCTATTCCTCCTCCTCCCTGAAGAACTTCTGGTTCGAGGCAAACTTGTGGATCTCCTTTTTACCAGCCCCTGCACCGCCACGGGGCGCGTGGGGGACCGTGGGCCACCCGCAAGATCCACGTAGGGCAACTGCTTCCACTGACTAAAGCAGGGGGGCGCAATGCAGGCAACCTTCGGCCTTGGTCTACGTGCGCCGTTTGCCACACGCACGAGCACAACGATGTGCTGGCAGCGCGCAACAATCAGCGCGCGAAGCGCAAACCTTCGGTGAACACATATCTTCCGAAGGAGAAGGCGAACGCAAGGAATATCAGCAGTTGCAATGCTTCATCTTTGGTCAACCCTGGCGGACACACGGCGGGCAAGGGGCAGACGGCGAGCACCGCAGAAGGCACTGCTCAGGTGGAATCGCACTTTGTCCAAGATGTTCGCCACCACCACCGACCTCGGCAGTAAGAAGATCTTGCTGGATAAGATGCAATCAAGGCGCTCAAGCCCGCTGAAAACGGTCGCCGCTGATAAGAGCATGAGGAGGGCAGCGGCCACCTGGAGGGACGCGACGCTCAAGCACGAGCAAGCGGCCAACCCGGTCATGAAGCTCAGAGAGAACCTGCAACCTTCGGAGGAGAAGAAGAAGGAGGCGGCCAAGACTGCAGCTAGTGCCGAGCACCAGAAAAAAATAGCCGCGCCCTTGGACCAGTTGGATTGCGAGGAGGCGGAACGGACCGAGCTTCGAAATATCGAAGCTGAGCTGAAGGAAACCAAAATCAGTTTGCAGGAGAGAGAGGCCCCAAGATCGGCGAGTGGAAGCAGCGCGCGCTCACGCTCCAGAGCGAGGCCCAGACCCGCACGGCCAAGAAGAGTCGCGAGGGCGGAGCCGGCAGCGGGCCAGGCGCAGGCCAGGCCAGCGAGGGCGGCGCCGCGACCGCGGCATCGGCTGCTGAGGCGCCGGCGGCAGCCAAGGCGACGACCACGCCAGTTGGCCTGGCCAGAGCCGACGGCAGCCAGCAGCCCAGCCCAAAGGACACCGAGAGAGAGGCGCAGAGGCTATCGGAGGCCAAGTTTCGCACGGCCGAGCACGTCAAGTAGCAGGAGGAAGCGACGGCCGCGGGGGCCCAAGCGCCAGTGGCCACAGCGCGAGGCAGCGCGGGCGGAGGCCAGCCTGCAGCCTCCGCGGGGCCCGCATCTACACCCACGAGACAGGCTAGCTCTGCGTCGGCTCCTGGGCGCCCAGTGAGACAGAGCCTGCTGCACCGGCAGATGGCGCTAAGGAAGTCGATCGGCCTCCGCAGACCAGCTCTTCTTTCGCTTCGCGCAGGGGCAAGCAGGCCCGGGGCCACGTCAATCCCAGGGCGGCGACGGGGACAGCATCCATACATTGCAGGCGCAGAGACTCACTTGCGCATTCAGCCAGGCCCGGCGGCAGCGCCGTGACAGGCGCTGGAGGAGAAGGTCGCGAAAACTATTTTGAACCGGGGACACAGGCAAGTAGTTGCCTTTGGCACTCCAAGCGAAGGTCCCGAGTTATGCTCTTGTCAGGGCGATTCGTTCGCCGGGCTCCTTCCGCTCACCACTTACTTCAATAGTTACACTTTCGAAGAGTTTGCATATGATGGGATATAATCTGGGGGCTTCCACGGGGACAACGCCAAGCGACTGTCGCGCGCGGGGGCCCTACTCGCCCTGCCCCAGCCTCCCTGGGCCATGCTCGGGGATTTCAATACGCCGCCCAAAACCTTTACGAAATGCGGTTCATCCCCGCGGTCTGCGGGGTGGTTCCTTCCACGGATATCAACCACACTTCCGTTGCTGGCACCGGCAATTCGCGCGTTGATTTCCTGGCGCCCATCGCCGCCGCCCCCAGCGGGGCGCGCATGGGCCCGCAGGTCCAGTTGAGGGGCGAAGGCCTCCAGCTCGCGACTCGCCCGGTCATCTCCCCGCCTAAGTCGCCGCGGCTCGCTCGCCCAAAGCGCGCGCCCAAGCCCAGTTGCAAGTCGCGGCATGCGACGCAGTCCAGGCAGGAACGACGCCTCGCTTCCGAGACCAATGTCGCCGACGCCACACATTATTCTGACATTTCGTCGGAGCCTCTTCAGTGGGACCCGCTGGCACCGGGGACGCTCAAGAGGGGCCCGAGGCCGCTCGAAGTCCCACGAGCAGACTGAGCTTTGGGGCGAATAGCCCGGCCCTGGTGCCCGAGGCAAACTGGCCTGAGCTCGCGGTGCATTTTTTACCAAAAAAATATTTTTTACACAAAACAACAACAACAACAACAACAAAAAAAAAAAAAAAAAAAAAAAAAAAAAAAAGCGGAGCCGAGACAGTTTTTGGATTCTCCAGGTAGCGAGGGTTCTTTTATCGCCCCACCCCGATGCACGGGCGGGGCCTTGCACGAGGCCGAAGGGGAATCCGAAGACACGGCGGGCCCCCCAGAGAGACAAACCCCGCTTTCCAGCTCCCGCAGGCACTTTGGCAGGAACACAGCAGGAACGTGGGCTTCGCGTCGCAGGCGATGGAGGGCGCGTGGCCCGCTGTCGCAGGCGCTGGGGCTTTTCTGCGTGGGTGGCGAGGATATCTCACCTATCAATGGTCTGAATGATTCTTGGGCGAAGACAGTTGAAGGGAATGTTAGCCAACGCCATGGGAGACGCCAGCCGCCGGG